GCCACAACGAACGTTATTTATATAATTCACGAAATTCCACCACAGCGAACGTTATTTATATAATTCACGAAAATCCACCACATTTAATACACTAACAGTACTATAAAAAAAAATCAGCCCGTGCATTTGCACGGGCAAAGACTAGTTTTATAAAAGACCTAAAACATCTACTTTCAGATTATCTCATACTAATTAGATAAATAATTTATCTAAAAGTTTAAGAAAGAATTTAATATTTTATATTTCTCTGGAGACTAACATACATATAGTAATTCCATTAGTACTCCACATTTTTTGCCCCTTTTCACCTTCCAATCCCACCGGCATGAACCCAGCAAGCATCACTATTTGGCCTTTCCAGCTAACAGATGCCGACGACGTACTTTTATGGGCCGGCGATGACCGGATTATCCGGTTATTCCGGTGTTATACTCTGACCTCTAAAGAAGAGGCCTTAACATTCATCACAGAAGTCTGCATGTCTCACCCTTGGTTCAAATCAATATGTATCGACGACCGGTCTATCGGATTCATATCGGTTTCTCCGGCCACCGGAGATGATCGGTGCAGGGCGGATTTAGGGTATGCAATAGCAGTGCAATATTGGGGGCAAGGAATAACTACAAGGGCTGTGAAAATGGTGCTTTGTTAAGTTTTCAAGGAGTTTCCTGAATTAGTAAGGCTGCAGGCTTATACTGTATTGGAGAATAAGGGTTCCCAGAGAGTATTGGCGAAGGCATGATTTGTTAGAGAAGGTGTGTTGAAAAAGTATACATATCTTAAGGGGGAAATAGTGGACTTGGTGTTTTACAGTTTTTTATCTACAGATGCTATTCCTCCCAATTCATAGGAAAATGTTCCACTCGACTGAGAGACGCGGTAACGAAATTTGTAACACTTAGCATGTTGTTTCGTGCACTTATCTCGACCAGTTTCTTACTATTGTTTAATTTTGGAAGTTGTAGTTTTGTTATTGTCCGTGTTTTGCTCCATTAATATTATAATTTATTTCTCTTTTCTATTATCAACCATGCATTCTTTAATAAAATAATATTATACGTAATTCTAAATTTTTTTTAACTACACATTCTTTAAAAAAAACACTATTTCAACAGTTAAAATTTGAAATAATGAAGGCCAAACGAGGGCATGTCCAAACATTGATTAGTCATAGAAAATGTTGTTTTTATCTTCTAAAACGGCTACTTTATTACGACTTCACCTTAATCGTTAAGACTTGGTGACATTGTAGGATGATACTGGAAGTCGTTTTGGCTCTGTCCTTCTTACAAAACACTACTACACAATAAGAGTAATACTTTTTTGAGTAATAGCCACGTACACACACAAGCCTTAAAACCTCCAATCTCAATTTATGAAAAAAGGATCTTTTATTGCTCATGCACTAGCATAACCTTTAATTTCAGGATAAGGGGTGCCTCACAAAGGGCGGGACCAAGCACGGGCGATTGTTTACCTCCATCCACTTAACAACACCTTAGGATGACATAACCTTAGAAGGACGAGGTTCAAACGAGAAAAGACTTGTGGAGAATACGTAAGCACCCAAAGACGTGAAAGTTGTTCAAGAATAGTGATTGTTGAGACTGTGGCCACTGAAGCCCTCTATTTTACCAAAATACCCTTTTTGATCTCTCCCAATACAGAGGGCTTCTTTAAGCATCAGTGGCTACAACTGTTTCACGAATTTATGTTCTTAAAAATGAATTCTAGTTGTATTCACAGGCTTGGAGGATTTTTTCTTTCGCGCTTGATTTCTTGTTTACAGTTATTGTTCTTCAGACGGAAGGAATCATTTCAATGGCATTTCAAATTCGTGTTCGCAAATGCATCCACAATCAGTAAAGAAACATCTGTTCAGGGATAAAGTATACTGATTGCAAAACATGCTCTACAAGATGGGGCGGAGGGACAGAAGTGATGCAGGTCCTAGTGTCACAGCGTCGTGCAAATTTATAAAACTACTTCAATTCTTGCTTTTACAAACCAAAATCAATTCTATGGGAAATGCTAACTTCTCATTGTCATCAATCTTATGGCTAATAAGCATCTGGATGATAAAACAAGAAGGGATCAATCAAAGGCTTAAATAAAGAATACAGATCTATAGAATAAAAACATAGCTTTTTACCAAGCAGTACACTGGATGGTAACACAGTCCTCTATTCTGGATGCACTTAATCCTCGTGCAAAGCCTTCATCAGATATAATCTACTAAAGCTTTGTCCAGCAACACTGCATGCCACAAATCAACACAACACTATCAATTCCTCAAGTATAGACCAAAGTATAACAATTACAGTGAATAAGTTGCGTAATCTTAACCATTGCACAAGGCGGATATCCTACTCACAAGAATGCCAATGAAGAAAGGAGGCAACACGCTTAACAAGGGAAATAACCTTCTGATCAATAGGGGTATCTTTAGACACGAGTAACTATTCTTGTCAAAGTAAAAGTAGAAGAGGTTTATTTGGTGGAGAACACCGAGTGTGCCATTTGAAACACCCGAAATATGTGTTAGGGATCAACAGAAAGTTTTATCTTATTTCTTCTAAAATATCAAATATCATACAACCAATCCAGACTGTTTGACATCCTNTGGAGAACACCGAGTGTGCCATTTGCAACACCCGAAATATGTGTTAGGGATCAACAGAAAGTTTTATCTTATTTCTTCTAAAATTTCAAATATCATACATCCAATCCAGTCTGTTTGACATCCTGATAGAAACACTAAATATACACATTCAAAATAATTAGGGCAAAGAAAGTCAGGGACTAATTAGTGAAGATAGTGGTTGTTTGCAAATGCGTGAGAGAGAGAGAGAGAGAGTGATAATAATGATATGATGAGAACGATGATCGCTGTTCAGCCAGCCTGATGAAGAAAAACAAACTAGTACATAAATGACAATTAAGTGCATTAAGTGGTGCAATATACCCATTAATTTGGTTGCAGTAGTTGGAAATTTGATTTGTTATGAGAAAACTATCTGTTGGAATTTGATCTCATTTGTGACATTTGGATTTCAATATTGGGGCGATGATGAAATGGGTTAAAGCCCAAATTGCTGGAAAGTTTTGGAACTAAAACTATTGCCCAATAACTCAAAGGAAAAGCCTAGCCCAAACTTAAATGCCAAGTGTGTCGCTCTGGTCCGTTGGATCTGTAGCCTGATCTACAGTTGGATGGTTGCCTATATGTTAGATATTGGATGGCCATTTTTTGGTGTGATTTTTCATTCTGTTCAGTGAGGTTTTTGGCTTAGTACGAAAGCTTCTGGGTGTTCTCTGTTCTTCGTGTTTTCTCTGTCTTCTCTTTCGATTCTTTGTGATAGAGTTTATCTTTGTGATTCCAGTCTTGGTGATTGTTCGATTGAGGAGTAGAGAGGTTAGATTGGTAGTAGATTCTTCGAACCATTGTAGTGGCTGCTTTGGGCGGTTTGGGTTAGGGTTTGTGGTTTTTGTGGTTTGTCCTTTTGTACAGATGGGTACAATATTCTTTGTGAATTTCTGAGCCCTATATCAAGTATAAGAAACGGATTCTG